AAGCTGATAAAAGTTTCTTAAGTGCACCAAATGGACTTTTTGCATGCTGTACTTGCTTTGAAATACCCGCCAGTAAACTAAGCTAGATTTTACTGATGCTGAGGCAGAAAAGTCTAGCAATGGTAAAAGGAGAGTATTCACAAATCACTTCATCTGCTTCTTTAACAAAAGCACCTTTATGGAGCAGGTGCATTAAAGGGCAGGGGAGAAAGACAATGTAAAAGAGGAAGCTTTTCTGCCAGCTACTGGTGCAGTGCCGTGGCAGTCTAAAGCAACTTGTGTCTGTACTGCTGCAGTCCCTCCCTCTTCCCTTGTGCTGGCACTGGTCTTTGCAAAATTGAGCAGAGAGATAATCTGCCTGAAAAATGGGGGGAGGTGAGGGTGCGTTATTTTTACTGCTAGGATACAATGTGGTGGGTAAAAACAAAGGAGAGAACCACAGCATACCGGAGTAACAGAAAGGAGAAGTTAAAAAGGTGGTACTGATGGTGGTACTCAGTTGACTCTATCTCAGGCTTCTCTGCCACAGTGACACCACCAAATCCAGAACTGGCACTGTCTGATGCCAATTCAAGAACTCTTATCACAGCATATCGTAGACAGGCAACATCTCTTGTTAGGCTGCAAAAAGTCATCATGTGAGCTTCAGGATTCTTACAGCTCCAGTAAAAGCCACTGGGAACTTCTATCCCATTTCTTACCTGCAACCTTCGTTTCTGTTGTTTATTAGCAACTGTCAGCATCTAACCAGAGCGTAGAGCGCTAGACTAACAATTATTAGCACAGAAAGATGATAGCTTTGAGCTATGGAACAAAATCAATCAGAACTCCTCAAAGCACACTTCCTGAAATTCATTCCACCAAAGTATTTTTTGAGTAAACCTTGTTTCAAAATCCAGTCGCTCACATTTTAAAACTAAATGTGAAAAGCCATTACAAACTCCAGCAAGAGAGACACAGTGAATAACATCACGCAGTCCTTACCTCACTACTCCGTACAGCATAAATAAAATAACAAGCTACAGAGCAGAGACTTTACACCTGAAGTACCCATTCTGGAAACGAGCTTAGAAAGATCCCTCTTCCTCTCCCCTTGCTAAAGGGCTTCCAGCTGAGTTCCTAGGGACATGCTTTACCACTTATGCCACTTGAAAACTTTCTTCCATTCCCTCCAATCCCTTCTTTAGATTTCTGAACTTGTATTCCTTTAAATTGAAGACACCATGGTGTAGTAAACCCTGGAGAGCTTCCTAAGAAGAGATGCCTCTGTCACAGTTCACTATTATAACATACCAAGCCTCCAATGGGCAGACTTCAAACTACTGAAGATGAGACGCACAAGCCTACCTTCTTAAGTGACAGACAGCCAGCAGCTACAATATAAATTCACAATTACAAATCCCCAGCACTACAGTGTGCAAGATAGAAATTGGAGTGCTCTCTACCAGCAAAAGAAAAACAAGGCACAGCAATGGCTGAGACATCAGACCAGCTCTCAAAAGCTCACCACTGCCCTGACTTCAGACCATAGCTATCAACATTTCATGTGCGTATTGCTATAGCGTTAATACACATGGTTCTGTATCTTTCAAAGTACTCCTGGACATTAATTGTAATTACAGAATACAGTAAAAACAACAATGGACTATTAATATAGAAAACTCTGATCTTGGGAAACAAGCAGCGAATTCCATTATCTCCCTGTAAGATTGATCCAGAATACAGTAAGGATTAAGTGCTGTTCCGTGACCTTTCATAATGTGATTTCTTTGGAAAATTGTCTTGAAGTTCACTGTAAATTATTTCAATTTTAGCAGCTACATAAACTAATCAAAGTGGGGTTTCAAAACAGACAAGCAGTTAATTGCCAAGTCAGTGAAGTGAAAGAATAAAGATGGTCTTTTCCCTGCATTTGTAAAGTGTTCAGCCCAGCATCCACCTCTGCACAGATAACCTAATAATTATTAAAGGCCTAAATGCAGCACAATTCAAGATCCTTTGCAAGCCTCTTTACAAATAGGCCATGTCTCAATTCAACGACAGCAAAAAATTTCAACAGTAAGAAGTTATGACTTTAAATTGGTTTTCAGTAGGAATGTTTGCTGCCCTTCCCTAAGACCCCTAAACCAGTCAAGAGTTCAAATGTCTTCTGTGTGGCTTTCACTTCTGGATAGTTATATCTGCAACATTCATCCTTTAGCAATGAAAAACGCCAAATACATACACAGACAGCAGGCGGATACCTTTATAATGATTAAAAATTAAATCTACACTAGCAGTAAAAACCCAGACCTTGTTAGAAATGCCCCTTTATTGCTTCCCCACGTTTCCCAACATCCTGAATGCTGCTTAAAAGGAACTCCACATACATTCTGGTTCAGTTACATCTTGGATCAAAATACTGCCCAATACAGTGACCATAAGACTGGATGAGCGCCAAAATCCACTGCCAGTTCAGTTCACTGAGGTGCCGCCTAGTAAGGGATGGCTGCTTCTAATGCTACCAAAAGGATTTGCTGCTTTTGCAGTTCTTCCACTTGCTACTGTTCAAAGTAGTACAGACTGATAGGGCGGACGCAGTCTCAACAACAGCCTACGATATTAAATATTACCACAAACATGATTTGGTGAGGAAAAACTTTCTCATATTTAGCATTCTGGTTCCAGCACAGTCTCCCAAGCTTCCACAGTTATCTGACATGATACTCTGTGGTGCAATCTATCCTGAGATAATGACTTGAGTCCAAATTCAGGTCCTAGACTAGAGATGACAGAAGTAGGGCAGATTCCAGCTTATATTCACCATCTCATTTCCCTCTCTTTGAGCATCTTTTCCTTGATCATGCATAAGGGGTTTCTAAGAAACAGTCTCCGAAGTTCTCCTTCCAGTGCTCAAGTACTGCTATGACTACTCTTTACCATGCAAACAACTCTCTAACAGTCCAAAATTAAGTTCAAGGTCCCTCCCTTCTACCTCACTCCACTTCTGAGGCATCATAATTTCAGAAATCTGAGTGACCAGACCCAGCTAGCAAGAGGAAAAACTATTTTAATGAAAACTGCACTGGAGACTCAAAGTTTCCTAAATTTTTAAAGCTGCCCACACCAAACAGCACAGAAAGCAGCTGTGTAAGTGCCTCTGCTTCCAGTGCATTCTACCACATTTAAATCTCTTAACCAAGAGAATATAACCTCCCCATGATGTACCTGTTACACTCAGCAGCCATGGGACCTCTAAACCTTCCAGAAAGAAGGTCAGAGTACAGCAGAACTGCTAAATACGCATCACCAACCACTGAACTGGAATAAGACACTTACCCATCTCTACCTTTACTGACGATCTTCACTTCAAAGTAATAAATGCCACAGGCTGCAGGTATAGGGTGCGTAGCCCTGACCGAGGCAGCATCTTTGTGATTTTTACCGTGACCTAGGAAAAAACAGAAATGTAAGTACTGATGGGATTTGAACTGTCCCACGCCTTGATGTAAAACGCCACTGTCTGAACACAGCGGGGATCCGTTTCTACATATATCCAACAATTTAAAGCACACTATTCAGAGAACTAGAATACACAATCCTGCACTGCCACCATGAACAATCCCTACACTAAGAGCACTGTAGCTTCTCCTTTGTTTTCACTGTGAAGTTGCTGAGAAGGACTCACTATCCCCCTCCCCACATACATAATTTGAAGACCAATGTACATCAACAGAAGACAAAAATGATTACACAAGAGGGGAATGACATCAGTGTTTACTAACCAGGCAAGAAAAGGAATAATCAGCTCTCCGCTGGGTGGGTAGGGAAAACAGCCTCCAATAGCAAGCAAGAAAAACATCAGTACGATTCCCCAAGTCCTACAAGTCTGCGAACATCTATTTTGTGTAAATTCAAGGAGCCAAAGCCCCAGTTATGCAGCGTGCCGACGCCATCCGACCCCTCGGCCGGGTTTTAAGCGGGATGACAGAGTAAATAGACGATCCGGCTACACAGACGCGCTGGGGCCCGGCCCGGTGACACCGCAAAGCGTTATATAAAAGGCAGCCACGCCGCCGGGGAAAGAGCCCCCGGCTCCAGACCACCGCCGCTTCCCGAGCCCAGCAAAACCCCGCGCCGGGCTGGAGGCCGGCCACGGCACCCGGGACGAGCAGCCCGCCCCGCGGCCGGAGCTCGGC